GTGTCTGTCAAAACTAAAGGTCAGAATGTGTCGCTCATGTCCCAACAATTCTTTTGCATTTATGTGTGTGAGTTCATTTTGGTTTCCAGCAAACATCACAATATCTTATCAACACTGTTGGAAAGAGTTACTCAGGTCATATTTTATAAAAAGCATTTCTAATTGTCTAAGACATGCTGTAATACTGCCACAAGAAGGACAGAATTTGTGAGACAGTTACGTTCTTCTTTGCCGATTGCTTTGCAAAGGCCAAGAGTAACACAAGGCAATATTGAACATTTCTATAACAGGCCAAACTAATAGGTAATTTTTCTCACCACTGTATATTTTTTAATATATGCATGTTGTAAATATACTGCTTGATTCTTGAAAACTGGGATTCATTGACTCGAAAGTCATTGAACAAATATGGTTTGTATGGGGTCTGGAACTTGACTTTGAGCCCTGGTAGTTTTGGGTGCTATCCATCCGTCTATTCATCTATTATCATTACTGCTTCTTCCCTGCTGGGTTGTGGGGGTCACTGTTACACATGTCCAGCAGACACTGTGCAAAAGGTGGGGTACACCCTGTACAGGTCACAAGGAACACATGAAAACAGATGACTGGTTCACTCTCTCAACCATATGGGCAATTTAGAGTTATGAGTTAGCCTAACATGAATGCTTTGTATGTGGGAGGAAACCGGAGTAAAGAAAACCCATGCACAAACAGAACATGCAAACTCCACCCAAAAATGTCCCCTGATGGGATTTCATCTAAAACCCTTCTCTATGAGAAGTAACAGCTCTACGAACTGTGTGTCACCCTTGGAGTTGTACCATTCACCCCCACTGCTCCCACTCTATCACCCCCAAACTGTTTTACACTTGTTCTCAAAGACGTTTTGACTGTACACTGCAATCTTTTGAAAGTAAAGTTGATGCAACACTTTTAGAAAATGTAAAATCTGTATTTTTATTTTTATATTTATTGGGGTAATAATATATTTGGATTTTGAAACAACTTGCAAATTACAAATTATACACTGACTAATTTATTCAAGACCCACAAGAGTTCTCCAAGATTTCCATTTTATTGCCCTATATAAAACATGGAGGGGTTTGTTTGAGTGATGTGACTGTCATTTGGTTATACTGTGCAAGACGTAACTTAACAAAAAAATGGAATGCGTTGTTTAGTGTAATGTTCCCCTTGGGTCTTTTGAAGCCATTGTGCAACGTTTTTTTAAAGTAATTCTTTGTTGACATTTCAGGCAGATTTGTTGCTTCTGTCAACCCAGGTCACAAACATTAGTAAAGTGGAGCCAAACAAGTCAGTGCTCAATAATACACGTATACAATCCAACAATTTTTAGTCAGGTCATCTGGACAGTTTCTTTTTTTTGTTTTTTTGTTGCTGAAACATTTCGCCTTCCATCCAGGAGGCTTCATCAGTCATGGAAACACACAACACAAAACTGATTAAACAGCTTACTCCAAAGTGGAACAAACTAGTTATGTTGGTGCTAAGATGGTGTCTTTGGCATGCCCCCTCCTCTGGAGCCGACCCTCTTCCTCGTCGACAGTCATGCCAAACTGGTTCAAAACCAAAAATGTCCATGCTCAATAATCCAGGTATACAATCCAACAATTTTAAGTCAGGTCATCTGGACAGTTTTTTTTTTTTTGCATGGAATTTTTGGTTTTGAACCAGTTTGACATGACTGTCAATGAGGAAGAGGGCTAGCTCCAGAGGAGGGGGTGTGCCAAAGACACCATCTTAGCACCAACATAACTGGTTTGTTCCACTTTGGAGTAAGCTGTTTGGGAGAAGAACAGTTTTGTGTTGTGTGTTTCCTTGACCGATGAAGCCTTCTGGATGGAAGGTGAAACGTTTCAGCTACAACAATAAAAAAAAAAAAAAAGAACTGTCCAGATGACCTGATTGAAAATTGTTGGATAGTAAAGTGGAGTTTTTTTTACGCTGTAAACTCTTTAAAAATAGTCCCAAACTGAAGCTATAAAGTCAAAAAGAAATCTAAAAATGTAAATAGCCTATTTAAGAAAACTGATGTAAAAAACAGATATTGCTACAAAGGGAACACAAATCAGCTCTACAAAATTAAAAACAGAGTCTGGAGAAGAACGGTGGTGATACCTATGAATTATGGGTATAATTTTGTTTTCTCTCCATATTTTTCATAACACTCCAACTGAAGCGATTTTACTCTATTCTTTTTGTCACAAGTAAATCGAGTTGTTCTCTATAAAACACATGTGTTTAGTGACATGCAACCAGGATATAATAACTTCAGGAAAGCTTAAAACTAAATGGCATGAAAATAACTAATACCATATTGTCTCTTGAGTAATTCATTTAATTATTTTATTTATTTTTACAGATATTACCCACCAACTTTCATGCAAGATCAAGCTCATATGTTGACAAATAACATAATCGTTGTTTCAGTCCAACCTTACAAATGTTTTTCACATCTCATGCAATGTTGTGAGATGTGTTAGTGTTTGTCTATGTGCTACAACAATAACTCAATATGTGTAAATTAGGCTAATAAATAGGCATGTTTATGTTAGTGAAGGTTGATTATCAGGGACGGCCATCTTGAAGTTGGTTGACTGCAATTGTTGTGTTTTATTCTAGTTTTACAAAGTTCTGTTCAGTGGTCTATGATATATATATTTTTTTTACTAACAGTTGGTCTAATGTCAAAGATTTAAGCAAAGATGTGAAAAATGTAGAGCTCAGAATATGTATTGGGGTTAATTAATAGTCTACTATCATACACATTTTTAGTTCATTATCTGTAAGTTGACAGAATTATAGCCATCTCTGTGTTGTTTTTTTTTTTTTTTTTTTTTTTTTTTTTTTTTTTTTTTT